TTTTTTGGGCAAGCTTCCGCTTCTTACTGTGTTCGAATGGACCCAGTGAGGCGAGGACCACATCGGCTTCGCCCTTTACCCACTAAAGCGAAGGCCTTAAAGGGCGAAGCTTATATGACATAGAACGTTGGTTACGTACTGTAACCCCAGATTCTATGAATATAAGCGTAGCCCTTTAAGCGTCGGGCCTCACTGGCTCCTAAATGGCTGAAGAAAAAAGCTATTTTGGGAGCCGATTTCCCGCTCTTAACGTAATTTATACGGACCGGGTAGGGCCCACACAGCAGGTGGGCGTGGACTAATTTTTTTTCAGTGCTTATGCTCTGCATAACGGGATAAACCCACTAAAGCGAAGGCCTTAAAGGGCTACGCTTATATTCATAGAATCTGGGGTTACAGTACGTAACCAACGTTTTTGACAACACCCTTCCTCATTCGTCTCCGATTGGTCAGCTAAGACCACTGCTGTGAATGATAACATAATCAAGAACACAACTTCAGCCACAAACAGGAAGCTATATTTTGAATGTTGTTACTGTACAAAAAAAAAGTTGCTGCTTTAAGATTTTAAACCTAAAAGTGTTGTTGTGTGTGTCTGTTTCAGGCCTAAGAACGTCGAACTTCCCTGCGCTCACAAATTAGAAAGCGAGATGAAGAAAGATTTCAGCGGCTCTAATTTCACATCAAATGTAAGACAAAACACAATCGTTGTAAAACAACACTGTTCTGTACATTCTGAAGGATACCTGGGGGAAAATGTAACTGCAGACATTATCTTTTATACATTATTAAACTATTTTTGCCACTTAAAATTACAAAAAGGTAATTAAATAATGTAGGATAACTGGAGTAGTGATGTAGGGGAGAACTCATTTAATTAAATCAAAATAATAGGACGCAAAAACAATCTGCCAGAATTTGGATGGTCTTCACAAGATCTTGGTGACATCTTCAGGAGTGTTTTAAGAAAGCAGTGGGCTTACGTGTGGTTGAACATGATTTTTGCTGCAAGCTTTTTTCCCACACACTCATTTAGCTTCAGAAGCTCATGCTGCACGCTGCACACCTCTCAGCCCCTCTATTCAAATAATGTTTTATTAAAACTCCCATCTGTCTTAGAAGACTAAAACTTGAGTTCATAAAGTGTTATAGGACTTTGTGTTCAGAAAACTTCCTTGGTAATGAGAACATTTCTCCTGGTATCACACACAGATGAAAACTTGTAGCATGACCAGTTTGAATTACAGCAGCTAAATGCTGCGATGATAGATTTTGAAGCCTTAATCCAGATTTTAGTCATCTTTGCATACGATCTGTTTCCATTTGACGCTTTTGTGTTACTGACAGTGATATTATGGTTATTCAGTACTACTGGGACTAAACTGGTTTGGTTTTGTTTCATTTTGCCCTCCTCTTACTGAAACAAGCAAACAGTAGCAGCGTTAGACATCCGCTGTGTCTGCTTTGTGCAGCTCACATCTTACAGATCAGTCCAGCCACAAGGACTTATTCAGAAGGCAATGCTGTTAGGTCTGAGGTTGTTTCACCTCTGAAACTGCGCATCTATTTTTATTCACTCACCTATTTTGTTGCAGATTTAAAACGAGAATAAACGCTCTTTCATGTCGAGGGCAGTGATGATTGAGTTGAGAAGATAGGTGAGAGGTCAGCCACATGAAAGTGGAAAAAGTTCTGCCTTTAACTAAAAAGTAGAGGATGGAAATAGAAAGCTTACATTTTCCACCAAACCACCTTAAAATAAAGTCATTTAGGGAAGCGCCCAGCAATCTACAAGTACTGTACATCTACTTATTATAGCTGCACACTGTGTGGGGGTTGTCATGCTCTGTTACAAACACAGCTGCAGGGTGGGACACGTTGCCTCTCAAACTTTAAACCAACTTTCATTGTATTTTGATATAAAAATATTTATTTATTTATGTTGATATGTTTTACAGTATAGTCCCTCGATTATCGCAGGGGTTACGTTCCACACACCACCGCGATAGGTGAAAATCGGTAGCGACGTTATATTTATTTTAGTATTTATATATATTTTAAGGCTTTATAAACCCTTCTCACACTCTTACAATGTTCTAAACTCTTAAACCTACGTCATTTTAACAACATATATGTACTGTACAGTAGCTACTGCAAAATTTTATTTAGGGACTCACCAGCCGTGATACGGTTCTGGTCTGGTTCTGATCGGCTCTCTGCAGCTGTTGAGCACCAGACGCTTTTAGAGAGAGTCGGACCTTCAGAGAGCCAGCACAAAACCACACGATGGTCCCAATCGAATCCAAATAATCCAGAGGAATCCGGATAAAAAAATCCGGGTGAGCTCCGGAGAAGACACTGGACCTGGGCCGGCAAGCAGCACCCAGATTGACCGATGAGGCTGGAAGTAGTTCTGGTCCAGTTCTGATCAGCTCTCTGCATCCACTGAGCACCAAAATCACTGTGAATAAGGACTGAACTTTTTAGTCAGGTTCGGATTGGATCAAAACTTTCCCTCCTTTTCGCCAGAAAGCAGCGAATGGAAGCACTGTTGGCTTCTGGGTAGTGTAGTCCTTTGATGGCCTTACACTATAGGCTTATTGAAAGAAAACTACAAAATGGCGGCACCTGTTTGAAGTATTTTTTTTTGTTAACTTTTTGTCCCATACTGTCCCAATCATATGAGTAAAATTAAAGTTGACAATTGTTGAAAAAAATGCGAAAGTCGAACTGCGAAGTAGCGAGGGACTACTGTACTTGTACTTGAAATTGACTTGAACCGCAGTGTCCCACCATCTTGTTGTTATTATTCTTTCAGTTTTTCCGATCTTCACCCACGATCTATGTTCCCCCAGCTGTGAAACCAGCCACACGGATAAAAAGCAAAGTGTACATCACTTTCTACAAAAACAACTCGCTGTTCCAGGTGAGCTGCTGTTTGCTGTCAGCCTCTATAGGGCGTGTCTGAGGGTTTTGTGGTGCTGCAGTTTCCTTCATGTGCGATGCACTTTTTAACTTTCTGATCATTTTGTTGCTGCAGGTGTAAACATATAAGGTGTAAAACTTTAAATTATTAAAGAGGTCTGTTTGTGCATGTTGCAGGAGGGATTCAAAGAGTTCAAGCTTCTCCACTTTGTGGTGGAAATCACAGTGGAGAATGAAGTCATCGCTGATCTTCCTGAGCCAATAAGGATGGACTTTCCCCATGATGTCATACCTGTAAGTCTGTCTTATTTTGATCATCACGGTCGGCAGTGAAACAAATATTCATGTTAATGTGAAATTTCAACAAGCATACAGAAACTGAGTTTTAATGGTTTCTCAGTTCATGTAGATGATATTAGGCAGTCCATGCCGTGTTCACTCAGGATGTTATAATTTATTTGCTTGTATTTTTTTAGATATTGTATAGTTTTGTTTAAAACACACTCACAAAACACACAAAAACAACATCCTTTTTTGACGTCTGGACTCCCTAAGAGAGAACATAGAAACCACATGTAGGTTTCTTTTCTACCCTCAATTCCTACAAAAACATCATGTGCTCGTTGTGTATCCACGGCATCTGTTGCATGTTCTTTGCAGCACAATCACAACCAACATTCAACCATCTTGAGTGTCTTTATTGTCACTGTTTTTAGAAATGTGATGCACAGTGTGTCACATTGTTTTGCATTTAGGACACAGTTTGCCACGGCAGCAGTTTCAGTCACAAATAATCAAAGTTTATAAATCTCTGTGTTTCAGAAAATCTACACAAGGAAATGTGTTTCGTGGGACACTCGGAAAGGTTGGAACCCTTAAGATAAAAGACAAACGGTTAACCTCAGAAATATTTGTTACACTTGTTTAATCGTTTTACTTGTGTGTGTGTGTGTGCAGATCCATTGAGGGTGAATTGGTCAGAGGATGGATGTGTGACTCATGTGAAAGGAGCAAAACACACCGAGTGCCTGTGCAACCATCTGACTTACTTCACTGTGCTGGTGGTGAGACCTGCTGCAGACACACTGCTCAAACACAAATAACTACAAATAACCAGCAGGACGATAATAGTGCAGTAATACTGAACAATTCATCAAATTAGATAAACAGATTGTTTTATTTCTGTGGATGAAGTTATTTTGCTCACTGCTTCGTCTCCTCTGGCAGCAACCAAAGCTTCAACCAGTGCGCCACCTGCTGGCCCTCACAGCCATTTCATCTGTGGGCTGTGCTTTGTCCTTCATCAGCTGCATCGCTCTGATCGTTTTTTTCTGTAGAAAGAGGTAAAACGGCCTCTTTAGAGGATTTCTATCTGAGACACAACAAATACACAAAATGTCCTCCTTCCATCCAACTCATTTCTGCTTCACTCTCATCTCAGGAGACGATCGAAGGATCAGTCTATATCCATCCATCTGGGCTTAGCCGTGTCCCTGGGTTTCCTCAGTCTGCTCTTTTATCTTACTGGGGTCTTGGCTAATCTGGTAGGGGAGAGTGTGTGCATCTTCGTGGGGGCCTTACTCCACTATGCCACGCTCAGCTCCCTCACCTGGATGGGCGTACAAGTGTTCCACACCTTCTGGTTGGTTTACATGGTCTTTAGACCCTGCCCAAAACCCTACGTGTGGTACCTGATAGGCTTTGGTGCGTGTGTGAATTCATTTATCTGAAAAATGTTTCTTATGGTTCTTTAAAGTGAGAGCATGTGTGACCTGTGAATATTTCCTCTCCAGGTCTCCCGCTGGTTCCTGTTGTTATACTGGCTTCAGTGGGAGGTTTCTATGGACTGACAGAGGTGGTACCAGCTGATGACATCAACAATCCTTATCGGATGTAAGCGCTACCAAATCTCATTGAATAATCATTAAACATCCAACAAAGTTCAGTCAGGT